TGTGTGTGTGTGTGTGTGTGTGTGTGTGTGTGTTGAGTGAAATGGAGGAGTGAATGAAGGTTCTGAACATCTGTGCTGTTGTAGAAGATTTTGTCCTTCAAAGTGAGTGCAATGGGCTCTAAGAGGGATGAAGTGCATGGCCTAAGAGCCTTTGGCTAGAACTTATAATTCAGCACACTGCTATGAATCGACAGCCTCCTAGGATCACTTGCAGTGAATAGTCCTTTGCCATGCCCCTTCAGAAATAGCCTATTCTATAAGTAGGCATTCAAGCACTATTACAAGTACTTGCTGATCCACCGTCTAGCAACTGGGGGGGGCGGGGAGGCAAATGATTGCTGGTTAAAAATCAGAACACTGTGTGCAAAGTATCCCATATTCTGTTTGATTAAATACAAAACCAGAAGACAACATACTGCCTTCTTGTTACATTGGTTTCTTCAGAGCAGAAGTGGCAAAGAAATGCCAACTCTCGGGACTTTTGCTCCAAGACCGAACTATTTGCTTGGCCCTCTCACAGGTCTAGGAAGCAGTGAGCGCCCTGGGGTAATTCTGATCAGTGACAAGAAATGGGCTGGTGTAGAAGAGCCTCTCAGGAGAACTGCTGACACGCTCTTAGTCCCTCAGAGCTCCCACACTTACCTAGCTCTTGCTTTTGTTACGTCTTGTGACATTGCCACTTGAAGATAACAAACTTACATTTCTCCTCAACTGTTCCTTCAGGTCTAGGACCAGATCATGTTGTCTTGCCTTCCAATGTGTTGTACAGTAGCTTACCTTTTTTTATTTTTATGTGTCTGTTCTGGTGCCTGCAGAGGCTGAGAGAGGGCGCCAAATCTCCTGGATCTGGAGTAACAGGTTGTTGGGAGCCATCTGACTGTGGGAGGCCGTTTGCAGGCCCCTCGTGACTTGACCCAGCAGGTCCGCATAGAGAGGATGATTAGGACCACGGCCTGAGTGCAGGTGTCTGAGATGGTCTGCATTTGGCTGAGCTGGGGGGAGGTCTTTTGCTCCACCCCTTGGCGTCTCTATAAATACCCTGAGGCAGAGATAATAGGGCTTGTTGGAATAGGTTCCAGGCTCTCTTAAGGCTATCCTTTATTTTCTATCTGTTTATCTCCACAATCTAAATCCTTCTATCTAATATTTCCTGCTGCTCGCACTCAAGAAAACTCTGGGGAGCTGTGGGGTTGGTGGGTAAACGCCCCGCACCTGACCTGGGTACTGGGAACCAAAGTTGGATCCTCTGGAAGAGTTGCTACGTTCTTAACCACTGAGCCATCTCTCCAGCCCCGGGGCAGTTGCAATATTAGGAGCCCAGTGACTTGCATAGTTTCAAAATGATCTTATAAAATAAATGATGTATTTTTTTTAAAAAATTCAGAAATATATCAAAGTTCCACACCCCTTTCCATAATGTCCTCACCCACTGCTCAGCACTCCGAAATACTTTCTCCTGAGCTTTCATATTTAAATGTTTCATACTTAGGATCATACAGTATCTATAATTCTGTCCTTAACACATTGGCATGAGCACGTTTCCTATCATCAAAGTTCTCTTCAAAATGACTTCACAGTACTCCCTTGCATGTTTTTAATCATAATTAACTATTGATATTAAACAAAATAACCAGAGCAACACAGATTTTTTTACGAGCTGCAAATTTTAAGACTCTACTATGCCCCTGGGAAGTCAGGAGGGAAACTGTCATGTGTCTGAAGATTGAGCAGGGCAAGAGAGGTAGGAAGGTAACGCCCGAGGCCACTCCTTGTGGTCCAGTGAGTGCTGTCAGCTGAGGAACATGTGGAAGGTGAGCCAGCAGTGAGGGGAAGAGGTTCCGCGGAGAGGGAATGTCCAACCCAGAGAAGGACCGCACTGTTGAGCAACAGCTGCACACGGTGGAATGACGACTGACTGACTGACTTCTGGAGTGGAATTCTGGCTTATTCCGGTTGGCAGAACCAACACTGGGAGGTGAAATGGCAACCGTTTTAACTTGGCCAACAGGTTTGAGGGGTATTATTAAGAGATACTCTGTGAGGTGTGGGGAAGCATTAATAAAAGTGTTCAAGTAGGGGAACAGCTTTAGGGGTACCAGAGGGTGTGTGGGGAAATGCCTGTTCTCCTTCATGACCTGTGTCTGTATAAACGATGGATGCCCTAAATCAAATCTTCACCTTTGAGTTTGTGTTTAAGCCACCACCACCTGCTTGTAATTCTGAGCAGCTTAGAGAGACTTGCTGGTACTCATATGCCCAACTATGCGGTTTGCCCAGGCCGGTGGCTTCCTCTTCTGTCCCTTGGTGTCCTTGAGCCTTAGAAGTCCCACTGAAGTCACTCTGCAGTCTAAGCACAAAGCTCACAATGTGTGTTCTTGTCCCCATCTCCAAGACCAATAAACTTGTGCTTAGACCCTTACAGTGAAGTCCAAATTCAGGCTCCAGCAGTATGTGCTTTGAGGCATTCAACACTCACTGGTAGTTGGCCTTGCAATTTGCACTAGCTGTATCTGGTCTCTTTCTGGGCTCGTGCTGAAGGTTGAGTAATAAAATCCTCCCTCTAGTGGCTCCAGTTCAAACATGATCTTACCCTACAGAGATCAAGCTTGAGTGCCCGAGACACTCTGGAGCCTGACTTGGACTGAAATTCCACTGCTGAGCAGTTGATCCCCCCCCTGAAGGCACACCTCCCAGCTGGGCCAGTGTGACCCCAGCTGATCCCAGATCCTGACCAGCAACACACCCACAGCCATAGAGCACATGATCACCAGCTTGTACCCAGCCATGGCTGAGGATGCTTATCTTATTGCTTTGCTATTTGAGGGGAAGAAACTGTCTAGCTTTCCTCAAATCCAAGTTCTGAGTCCTCTGCTCTCCTCTAGCTACAGGACATCCTAAGCTTTTTGTGGAAAGGTAGAGAGAATGCGACAGGACAGGCGAATGATCTTTGTAACAGTGTTACTAGATCTCTCCTCTTTTGGCCAAGCTGTTGGGGAGAGGCTCCTACCTGATGGGTGTCAGCAGGTAAATAGCCTGACAGGTTAGGGAGCATCACCTTTCTCCCGTTGATACTGCATGTAATTCAAGATGTAGAATTATAGCATTCACATTCCACTGGACATAGAGTGCCACTACTCATGAAGGGCATGGATGCTGGGGCGACTGGGACTCCAGCAGTCCCCAAGCTACCAAAGGCAACAATCACATACCAGAGAACAATTGCTGTATCTATCCTTTCCCTTCTTCCAATCCACAGTTTGAACCTTCCCACTTCTCAGCCTAAAAAGTAATATTGAACCAATGAACCTTTCAGCAAAGTTTGGTTTATCCACAAAGTGCTGCCCCTTCTGTTTACTGAGCCAATATGTCATTAGGTCAAGTTCTATTTACACAGAAGAGCTTTCAGGAACTTCTGTGAATGGCTAGCCCCTGTATCCATCCATGTATTCTGCACATGTGGAATTAACCAGTCTTTGGTGGAAAATATTTGGGGGGGAAAAAAACCCTTTGCATTGCACATGTATGATCTTCCTGTCATTATGAACATTACATTATAATAACTGTCAGCATTATGTTGCATTAGGCATCATACAAGATCTTGTGACGACTCTAATATGGGCGGTTGTATGCAAATACTACACATTGGCATCTGTGGAGTCCTAGAATCTGTCCCCTGTGGATATCAAGGGATGTCATCAGGTGGATACCCATGGAACTGGAGTCAAACACTAGAACAAGGGAAAGGTTAACCAACCTCCAGGTGCCAGGCACCTGAGTGTTTCCTCCGATCTCTGCCATTATTCATAGGGAAGGACACATAAGTATCTGGTTGGTATGCATGGCAGGGTCTATCGCTTACATTCTGAGATGCCCTTTTTGTCTGAGGCCATGCTGTTCCTATGCTATGGCATCTTTGTCTTTGAGGCACCGGTCAGCATCAAGGGGACATGCTTCTCCTCCTCAAGGAGCCATCAAGCACTAGGTTTTCTCAGCTGTGGCGGGTAAGGGGTCTCAATGTCTCTCATCTGATTCGTACTACGCTCCAGGGATGGCAGGAATCATTCTGAAATGGAGTGAGGGCCCACTCACTCGATGTGGTGCCGTGAGTAATGTGCTTGCAGCAGAGCCTCATGACTGGGATCTGGTCAGAGATCACACGGTAGAGAGAGAGAGACAACTTATACAAGTTGTCCCCTGACTGCCTCGTGAGCGCTGTGGCGCATGAACAGCCTTCAACCAAACAGACACACAATAAATACATAAACGACTATAAAAATGTAGTGGAACTTCTTATTCTCTCCTTAACTACTACGGTAGAACCAATGGACAGACAATACTACACAAACTCCATTCAAACATTCACTCCACTTTGGGCAGGGGCCAATTTTCTGTATTATGTGCCTCCAACAAAGCAAGTCAGGGAGGGGAAAGAAAGTCCCCCCACCCCCACCCCATGAATGCTGCATGGGTGCCTCCTATTGGGAATAGTAAAACGAGGCCACTTTTTAAAGGCTGTGATTTAATGGGATGAGATCATTTTGGCATGTTTGTGTTGGCTGTAGATAAGAAAATGTCTATTTTGTTCTAACAATGGGCAGCAGTGAGGAAGGGGATCTGATTTTCCAGTCTTGTCTAGGCCTGAGGATACAGTTCATTGCAAGAGCACCTGCCTGGGATGTCAGAGGCCCAGGGTTGTTGCCAATACCATAAAACAACCAAAAAAAAAAACCCCAAAGAGACCAAGAGTGGGGTATTTGGGGCTGGACTTATGACAAGGTCAGATGTGACCTCTAAGGTCACAGCACAGATTTAAACAATGGTAACAAGGAGGTGGGAAGGTTTCTCAATCCCTTGCAGGAAGAGGCATTCTCAGGACATAGGGAGTCTGACATAATTTTCAATTTACTTCTGAACCAACGTCTTGAGCTGAAGAGCGAGGCAGAAGGGAAACGGGATTTTGATGCGGGCTTCATCGACTGAAGTAAACTGACAGGAAGAAGAACGTTTCAGATGTTTTTATTCAAAGGTTCTCAAAAGAAATAAAACAGAAAAAGCTAACAATCTGATCAAATGTACAGTTCAAAAATGTCTTTTGGCGTTTAACAAGTCCTAGGAAAGAAAACTACAGAGTCATCTGGAGCCGGTCAGTAAGTCACCGCTGGCAAGTATGGAGCACTAGTAGGAACAAAAATAAAAAATTAACTCTCTTGATCATATAGATATCTCTATGAAAATCTTTTTTTTTCAATCTGTACAAAAGGTCTTTCTTCATAAATTAATTTTTTTTTTATAATTTAATGGCTGTCTACTATGTGATGTTTAACTGACTTTTTTTTTTTAATATGTACAGAGGTTGTTTCCCAAATCTGACCCAGACGAGTATGGCACTTAGTTCAGACATACCTAGCAGCAGATTTCCCCTCCCCTACTGACTGAGCTATCATCTCTCTGTCTTAACTAATGGAAAAAATATCAAGTAGTGAGAGCCCCGGGCTGATAAACATACTAGGTATACGGAGGGTGCTGCATTCAGTCTGGACTTCCACAAAGCAGAATGTTTTAGGGAGCATAGAACCAATAATACCACAACTTCTTTAAAAAAAAAAAAAAAAGAAACAAGAACAAAAACGAAAACACATTTCTCTTATGACTATGTAATTTTCACTAGAATCTACACTTCTCAGAGCAGCAAGGACGTTTGAAACTATGAAATGTCACTGACATCTATCATCAAATACAAGCAATAAAATTTAAGAACTAAAAAATACTCAAAAGAAGTAACTGCTTAGCCCTAGCTCCCGAGCTAGGAGGATTTGGTCGGTGGAAACAGGGAGGGCCAGCAACCTGTCCCAGCACAAAAGAAAAAGCCTCTGAGGTAGATAACTGATCATACGTAGCTGACCAGACAAGTACACAGTTTTGGAAGACAACTTAATTTACCATTGCTTTTAAAACGTATGCAATTGCCTTAATAAAAGAGCATTAATAACAATGAATTATCTCATATGTACTAAAGTAGAAATAACTGTATTTATGAATCAGGAATTTCATAGTTTCAAAGTTGGTTTTCTTTACACTTGAACACCTGTAGTGATGACTTAAAGTGTGGCACTGCTTGGATTCAAATCTTCCTTCATGCTTTTTTTTTTTTTTTTTAAATTTGTCTCTGTGAGTCCATACATCAGTTAAAATTATAAAACCTAATGCAAAGGTACAAAAAAGGCACATTCTCCTAACCGCAAACTGGTCCGGCAAAAACAAAGAGCAGAGAAAATGGGATGCTGAGACAAGGTGGAGCTACGGGCTACTGGCTCTTCGGTCTTTGGTGAAGTTACCTTTAAAAGTGCCAAGTCATTTTTAGTTTTTCAAATTGACCTAAGAGAGAGCGAGTGAGCGAGAGAGAGAGAGAGAGAGAGAGAAAGAGAGAGAGAGAGAGAGAGAGAGAGAGAGAGAGAGAGAGAGAGAGAGAGAGAGAGAGAAAGAGAGAGAGCTAGTAGCCAATCGTTTTTCTTCTGTTCATATCTCAGCTCAGGTTTGAAGAGAAATCCTTACTTTTAGCTTTTACCATTTAGTTTCAATAGCGACATTTACCCCCCCCCCCCCCTCAGTTTGCCAGATCACAGGCATGGTTCTCATTCTAAAGCACTATCGTTAGGATAAAGGACAAAACATTCGGTGACTCCCCTCCCCCACCCCCACCCCCAGCCCCAAAGCTACCTACACTAAATCTAGAACATCATTAAGTTTTTTGTTTTTGTTTTTTTTTTTTCCTGAAAAAAGGCAAAAAGGACTTTACATTGCATCATACAGCAGATATCCTAAATTGGTCAAACTATCAGAGGAAACTGTCGGGGTACGGCCTTACAAACGATTTACCCTATTAAAAGTCCCCCAGTCAGAAAATGTGTTTCACACAAAACAGTTCTCCCTTCTTGCACTTTACTACCTTACACGTTACGTGAAAAAAATCATTAAAAACACCTACTACATATTTTAAAAAAGCCAAAATTTCAGCAACTTTTATTGACTACCTTTTTTTAAAAGCCCTACGCTGCTGTTTTACAAGGCGTACTAGACCAGCCCATTTGGTCAAAGCATTCTACATCATTAGTTTGAACTAACTTTACTGAAACAGCTACAGCATCAAAAGAGTTAAGGCAAATTGGAATTCATAGAAAAGGATAAGACACTTCACACTACGTCGAAAGAAAAATGAAAAGCTAAGAAAAGACATCGAGGGTGGCCACACTGGCTTAGAGCGGCACTCTCACGGCAAGCACAGACACCATGGGTGACGTCGGACAGTGGAAACTTCAGAAAGCCCATTTCATACAGCTGAAAAAAAAAACGTATTAAACAGAAAATGAACAAAACCGCAAAAATCCGGTCATGCACTTGGATAAGTCTTCGTGGTCTTTGTGCATACCCAGAAAATTGAAGTTTTCTTTTTCTCTCCTTTTTTTTTTTCTTTTTTGCATCGTTATATTTGATAAAAATCTTTGTTTTTTTTTGTGTTTTTTTGTTGTTTTTGTTTTTTACTAAAATAAACCTGTTCAGGGGAACAGCTACTAGATGAATTTAAGGGTTTTATGCACCTTATAGAACTTATAGCAAAAATAGTTTTAGTTGATTTCATTATAAATAACGTTTTCAAGAACCTGTGCAAAACTGTCAATAATTTCCTAAAGCACAATTGATCAGAAAAATCCATGATTGTTCAGCCTTCACACCCTTCTTCATGTAAGAACACCCTTTGGTCCATCTAGAAGAGAAAGAGAGGAGACGAACTCAGTCTCTGCTGATTGAACAAACACACCACGCAGGGCTTGTCATCTTTTGCTTTAGAGAGATAAACGCCTGAACAAGATTGTGCTCATCCATGGTGAGACTGGGGGACATGAGCTGGGGACCTGAGGGTCACTCTCAGTTCCGTGAGTCCGCCTTTCCAATCTGGGACTTGCAGGGTACTTTCCTCTCTCAGGCAGCCAGAGCCAGCTCCACATGGGTCTCAAATGAAGGGTGATTTGAGATCAACAACATGCGTTACAAGACAATCCAGAAACTGGATTCCACGTAAGAGTTATTTTACTAAAATACACATGGTGAGGTGAAGTTTGAAATTTGTGACTCCAGTGAGAGCTGGTAGGATAATCTTTTGTTCTGAGGATGCCGACAATCTGAATTCATAGTCAAGATGCTGCTGACCTTGTGAGACTTGATTAAGCAACATCCTAAGCTGTATCTCCTTAGTATTTAAGCAATATAAATAGGATGCTTCTATTATAGGACAGCTTTGGAAATCAATGTTCTATGATGCTTTATATTTTATGACTTTGGGGTAGAGGAAATACATATTTGATTTCAATATAAAACATTGTTCCTTATCTAGACAGAGTCTGTAAATTCATAAACACATTAATTAATCTAAGTTAGTCTAAGCATCATTTGATAAAAGTACCCCACACTGCTTCATATGAGTCCTGCCGTTAGGGAGACTTTTCCCTCATACCTCACAGTTACTTATTGGGTTGAAAGGTATATGGAGAATGGTCATTAGATGTCTCCACAGTCACCTGCTGCTGGCCACTTGCTTCCTACAACAAAGCAGAATGCATGAGACATATTAGCAACGAAATCCTAACTCTGCTGCTAAGGCCTGAGTCCAAGGACATACACCTTAATACAGACACTCTTCAAAGGGAATTTCTTCAAGTCAAACAGAGCTTTTAAGGCTAATCACTGCCCTAATGCAGCTGAAATATGACAGACCCCAAGAACCTCCCGTTCAAATGTTTAACTTAAATATTGATCAAAGAAATTTCTTGGCTTCGTCTCCTTGAAGCCAGATATAGTTTATAATTCAGTATTTTCAGATGTTAAGAGTCTGAGTCACAGTGTGCAAATGTTGCATGCCATATACCACCCCCCCCCCCCCCCCCCCCCCCCGCCGACTGCTGCCTGAAGGCATCAACTGCACCTCACAATCAAACTTCCCAATACTTATATGCTGAAAAGTGTGAATCAACTCAGTAAATGGAAGCAGGGACTGTAACTTCAGCTACGTGTGAGGTAAGGCAGAAGGGCTGCAAGTTCACAGCCTGCCTGGCTTCCAGAGCGAGGTCATGACTTTAGAAGGGACATGGGCATAGCTCAATGGCAAAGCATCTGCCTGGCATGTGACAGGCCCTGGTGGAACCTTCACTAAAGTAAGAGTAAATCAGGAATAAAACAAAAAGCCAGAGTACTTGGGAGATTTTGTCTTGGCTCAGCTCAAATTACGCTTGAAAAACCACAGGTCAGGCTTTGCTGAAGCAGTTACGGAGACAATGTTTGGTTTTCATTGTTCTGGAGGTTTCATGTTCTGGAGAACTGCACACAACAACCACAGTTCCTAAGAACTTTGGGATCTGCCTAGGGGGTAGGGTAAGTGGACCGATAAACTTCCTTGATCCTTGAGGACACTCTGCAGGAAAATACTAGGCTTCCTGTCCACTCATAATTCAGATGTCAGACTTCTACAGATGCAATATATTCTCAGATAATAACCAAGAGCAGTTGGCTGTAAAATCGGGGGGGGGGGGGCTGTTCCTCATGCTTGTTGCAATTTAGGAATACCAGCTTTTCTTTTTCCATCATCTGAATTATGACCCGTTTCTTTCTATAATAAGTATTACCACTGATTCAATCTTCAGAACTAAAATCGCAAACCCCAATTTTATCTTAGTGTGCCTGTGAGTAAAATCTTTTGGGGTAACAAGACAGAGCCTCAAAGTACTATGAAATGTGCTACAAGATTGCAAAGTTATTTGGGGGGAGTCTGGGGATACAATGTATCTGGATGTTGCTATACTAATTTGCATAGAGTGTGTTCTACAGTTGAAAAATGCTAAGCGCACACTCTTTCTGGACCATTTCTTTGGTTGTATAGCCTAAGCTGGCCTGAACTCATGGATTCTCTTGCCTCAACCTCTCTGGTTGCTGGGATAACAGGCATGTGCTACTATGCCTTGAGAAAATATTTGACTATTGATAGATTGTTGTTGTTGTTACTCTATTTCAATGACTCGGATGGCAAACGACCCACTGCCACAGTGACCACTGGGATGCTCTATACCAACCACCGCCACAGTGACCACTGGGATGCTCTATACCAACCACTGCCACAGTGACCACTGGGATGTTCTATACCAACCACTGCCACAGTGGCCACTGGGATGCTCTACACCAACCACTGCCACAGTGACCACTGGGATGCTCTACACCAAACACTGCCACAGTGACCACTGGGATGCTCTATATCAACCACCGCCACAGTGACCACTGGGATGCTCTACACCAACCACTGCCACAGTCACCACTGGGATGCTCTATACCAACCACTGCCACAGTGACCACTGGGATGCTCTACACCAACCACTGCCACAGTGACCACTGGGATGCTCTACATCAACCACCGCCACAGTGACCACTGGGATGCTCTATACCAACCTCAACGGGAACCGCTGCTGTCTGCATGTGTGTATACTGTGGCAAGTAGGCTCCTTGCATGGCTGACGTGGCAGGCATGTACTGAAAAGGAGAAGGTGATCAGGGTATGCAGCAGCAAGCCATGCAAAATTCAGATTACTGGGTGGTGGGGGGTCAGGGTCGGAGATGGCTGTCAAGTACTTAAGACGTCTCAAAGAAAAAACTTATATGGGTTCCCCTCAAAGCTTAATGACTGCCTATGAATACGTCATTTGGAAGGTCAAACTAAAAATGCTGTGTTTCTTTGAATTTAACAACAAAAATAATGTGCCCGTGTGAAGGTCATTAAGGTTTCTCATCTGCAGTAATTCAGAATGGTCATACGAATCTCTCCTCAAGAGGCCACGTTATTTTCTGGTCATCCCCTGAGGTGATGCCTCACACTGTGTGTGGGGAGAGACCTGAAGGGACCCTGAACCGGTCCCTGCAGCTCTCCCTGTCTCTTTCAGCAGTCTCATTTCCCAAAGGCAGGTGGAATTTGCAGCCTATTTCTGGGCTGTGTAGTGTCCTGGATTCGCTTTCCTGAGAAGCTGTTGCTGGTTTTCAGAATAAGAGGGGAAACACGCTGCCCTTTGCCCTTGCAGCCACCACACACACAGGCTGAGCTGGATGCCTTTGTCCATCTTTACACTTGGCCTCGTACTAAGGCAGCTTCCTGCTTCCTAACCCCGCCAGTCCCTTGGAGTGTAGGAAAACAAGCCACTACGAAAACCGCAATGCAGTGCTGGAACACCGCAGGAAAGAACAGCAAATGTGGAGATGCTGCCTGTCCTCTGTGACCTGCGCATCTTTTCCTCGGTGACCTGCAGCTCGTAACGTGGGTTATAAAAGCTACACACGGGCATGTGTGGGCGCTGTGTGGGTGAGGGAGATGTATCCAGGTCATCAACTAATCAAGAATTTTCTGAGTCCTATCTGACTTTGTGGAAGGCAGTGCCGATAGGGAGAGGGCCGGACACAATCTTCGTTACCACCCTCCCCCTCAACCTATACTCTCATTAGGGAAGACACGGGTTTCATAATTCACTTTCCTCTATTTGCAAAAACCCAGGATATTAATTTGCCACCTACTGTTCCGGTGCTGCCTAGCGACAGATGACTCATTTGCTGGGCCAGAGGGCTGATCATAGAGGCAGGCTGTAGTGACATGGTGTGTTCCATTGAGGGAGTTAACACGGCACTCTGAGAAGGGGAGAAAAGAGTGACAAAAGACAGACTGAGAGAGAAGTAAGATTCTGCAGTTCCAATCTGCAAAGGAAAACCCTTTGCTGAGGCAAACATAACCTCCCTCAAACTAACAAGAGGTATCCTGAACGACCACCCCAAATCTCCTACATTGCTTTCCCGAAACTTTCATAAAGAGTTGAGAGGAAATGGCGGTGCTATTTCACCCCACTGAGGTCTTTGTGTTCAGCTTGACCTAACTGTAAAGCCAGACAGGCCAGCAGGAAGGGCTGTGACATGAGACAAACTGAGGATTATGGCAAACAAACACTGCCATGGCTGCCAGATGTTGGGGGGGGGGCGGGGGAGAAATAGCTTTTGTTTTCTATAGCCACAAAAAATGCCCCAAAACAACAACAAAAACATGATCAACACAGCAGCTTGTGTAAACATGTTTTACAGAGAGTCATCTGGTTCAAGATTAAGTAGGTAGGGCCAAGAGTGTGTTCTTCATTTCTGGGTATTTTTTGGAACTTCCTGTCCTGTGTCTGGGAAAATAAGTTCCATGGTCACTTATTTTGCTTGGAAAGTTTTTGCCATCAAAAAATCAATTCAATGTATGTAAGAAAACAGAGAAAAGAAAAGAAAAACCTACTCCTGTGATATCTCTAGCAGAACCAGTATTAGCATCTAACTGAGAGCTAGATTCTGCATCAGAGAACATGAACAACTTCCTGCTTTGGGCTCAATATTTTAACTTAGCTTTCTACTAGAAATGGTAACTGCCCTTGCTGCCATCAACTGTAATGGCTAGAGCATGCTTTACTATACCAAAACTGAATTGTTTGGACATCTGTCTAAACTTCTCTACATTATCAATGGATTTTGACTGTTCTTCTCATCTCTGCAATCACCTAATTGTTATAGCATGCTAGCATTCTGTTCTACTCCACCAACATGAACATGTGTAGCTGATTGCCCTGAAACACACTGGTGTTTACCGAGAATCAGATACCAGTCCAGGGCACAAGCAGGTGTTTCATATAGTTTGAATCTGGGTGGATAATAGTAACACAGGTCTCCTCAAAGAGGGAAATTAAAATATATGCAGTACTTGAATCTAAATTCACCAAAAAGAAAAAAAAAAGAAGATACATTTCATTTTTTAGGTTCATCATCAAAAAGCACAGAACAACAAAAATGATTCCAAGTCTAGACTATGGGGGAGGGGTTTCCTGACCTTTCTTCCTCATCCACAGGTATCACCAAAGCACTAAGGGGTCCTCAAACTAAGAGTGCACTGACTTCCACCTTTCCAAATAGACCATCAAGTATTGGGACCCAGACTGCTGTGGGAATGTGTGGATGGGTGTCATGAACACGAATGTAGGATGTGTGGACTTCTGGACATGTGTGTGTGTGCATGAGAACAGGTACAAGACACAGTTTTATTTGCATCTGAATGGCTGTGTCAGCATTTCCTGTCCTGCACGTGCTCCCGACTGCTACTCTATGCTGTGGGATGTTCTGTATGGCAAATGTGTTGCTGATTGGTCAATAAATAAAACACTGATTGGCCATTGGCTAGGCAGGAAGTATAGGCGGGACAAGGAGGAGAATAAAGCTGGGAAGTGGAAGGCTGAGTCAGAGAGACACTGTCAGCCACCACGATGAGAAACAGCATGTGAAGATGCCGGTAAGCCACGAGCCATGTGGTAAGGTATAGATTAATGGAAATGGATTCATTTAAGCTGTAAGAACAGTTAGCAAGAAGCCTGCCACGGCCATACAGTTTGTAACCAATATAAGTCTCTGTGTTTACTTGGTCGGGTCTGAGTGGCTGTGGGACTGGCAGGTGAGAGAGATTTGTCCTGACTGTGGGCTAGACAGGAAAACTCTAGCTACAACTCTACCCACATGGTCTCACACTGTCCGCCGTGTCCACTGTTAAAGAATCATGAGAGAAATCCCCGTCTCATTTTAAGGCCAAGAGTTGAGTTCTTTTCCTAATCAAATGATCTGGTTTTTGTATTATAAACGTTGTGATGTATCTTGCATATGAGAATGCCTAATTTGCACTGATAACTAGAAACCAAAGGGCCAATCTGTGGCTCTTTTGTGGCAAGTGTGTGGGTCACCATGGGTATTCTCAGTCTGACTTGTGAGTTTGTTCCTACACACTTGTTTTTAACTTTTTGACTCTACGTTTAAAATTCAACAAACTGGATTTTGGTATAAAAACATCAAGTATGTTTTAAAATAACACACTAGGATAAGGAACATCGAAATTGATGAAGAAATCATACTAGTTATGAACAAGGAATGTACTGCTGTCTTCGTCCTTATCTTTTCCACAGACAGGCTAAGCAACACCAATGAGAAGCCCTGCCTGGATCAGAACTTCCTGTCTAAATCACAAAGAATGCAACAGGGAAGAGCTGTTCCTTTCCACGCAGTGCAAAATATTTAGTTACTCAACTAATGCAATCCTCCGAACTGGCATGAGTAGAGAAAGAATACCTTGCCTCAAACAGGATGCATATTAAGTTCTTACATAAAAATTAATGTCTACCAATAACCCATTTTAAAACAAAGGTAACTTCAAGTTTCATAATAAGCTGGCACATTGTCAGATTCTGTGTTTGAGTTTTTCCACCCCGCCCCTGCCCCCATCTTTGGTAGAAGGGTTTTAACTCAACAGGCTACACACATAGCTTCCATAGAGGACATAAAGTCATTGACATGAGAAACTTACAGGATGCTGTAGGATGTATGGTTGAGGTTGCATCCAAGAAGGACTTTGCACCTAGAAAACGGAGGATTTTGAAAGAAACAATGATTTCTACTGCAACTATCATCTAATTCTCTACAATTCTTTTTAATCGTGTTAAAAATCTACAGAAGGAAGATAAGGAGAAAACACTATCAATGATTACAAAGGTTAAGGCAGTTAGAGTTCCTGACAAACTGGTCACTCTAAATGAGATGAAACGATCATTCAGAACCAATGTCAGTCTGCCCACTCGGTACGTATTTACTGAATATTAGGGACCAAGGAGCAGAAGGTGGGCAAGGCATGGATGGGCTTCATCCCTGAGAAAGATACTGTCTAAGGGAAGGAAATAAACATGTAAACAGTCCAAATTAGTCAAGTGTTATAATCAAGGTATGAACTACATTTTTAGGAATACTGATGAATGAGGATTAATTGTAGAACATTTCATTAGAAACTAACCCTCCAAGCACATACTATTTATTAAGAACTACCAAATGCAATCTCTTTGACAATCAGGAAAACAAGTTTAGAAATTTTGTGTAGCCCTCAACAATTTCTAGTTAGTGAGGAAAAAAGAATGTCTGAAATGCAGACCTAGGATATTAAATGGGAGGGAACGAGATCTTGATATCAACAGTTAAGTTAAACGGGCATCCACACAGTAACCCTCCAAACTGAGCAATCAGACGTGAGGACTGGGCTTTTTGGCGGGAAGGAAATGAACCTTCCGCCACAGAAGAGAGGAGTCGTCTGTCTGCGTCTCGATGCCCATGGCTTTTCAAGGTCTATGGACCGTAAGATTCATTATCTTCCAGTTCTTAGGAGACCCCTCCTGCATCCTGTCCCTGAGTGTTAACTTCAGAGGTTCTACAGAGAGAGCGCGGGGAAGAGTCATGGGGAAAGAACGTAGCGCCATTTACCTTGGTAGCAGAGCCCCGATACTTGTTTTCTCTGGTTTCCTTTGCCACCTAAGGCAGACCAAAGTTAAGTGCTTCTGCCTTGTTAACATTGCAGTTACCTGGACTGCAGCCTTTCCCACTGGGGTACTGGTGCTCTCTTGCAGATGCCACTCTCTCAAATCCAACTGCATAAGCATATGGTGGTTTAGTGGAGAAAGCCAACTCCAGCATGGGTGTGGGCCCTTACAGACACATCACGAGAGGCAAGCAGCCCCCTGGAGACCCCGATTTGGGCCAGATGTCCCCCACGTTTATATGCTTCTGTGGTTATAAATGTCTAAACACTTGTAGTATTATCGGATTAAGGAGCAATGACATCGAACCCCGTCTTTTCATCTCAGCAGCCAAGCAGCCAGCCAGTTTCTAGTCCTCAATGTTCCCTACTTATAAAATGGGAATAACAATCTGTGAACTTTTTACCATTGGTTCTTTGAACACCTGAAATAAAAAGAACCCCCACCCCAAACTAACTGTACATACACAACCTGTTTTCAAACACCTTAAAGGGGACCTTGGATTACCTGGGGGCACATCCACTCACCTCTGCTTGGCACCGACCATATAAGGATGGGCACCATCTGAGAGGTTGTGCCACTGAGCGTCAGGCAAGTGGAATAAATTCCACGTGGGTCTTACAAAAACACAGCATCCCCCAAGGAGGAAATGAGGCCTGGAAATGACAGGTTGTCTGCAGCTAGCCATGTCCAGCTCCCAACACTGATCTCCTGACTTTTTATTCTATAAAATGACTGAAAGGCTAACTGCTTCAAAGGGGAAAAGCAGTGGTAGAGAGATGCATTAAGAGCCGAAATGTCTATAGCAACATGACAATTAACAGTCTTTTGTGTACTTAAGAGTGAGCTCAAACTTGTGCTGATTTTTAGCGACATAGTCATGACAGAGCGCCATTTTTCAGATCACCAAAGACCATATTTTAGTATCAGCTGTAAACCCTGCTTATGAAGGGAGATATACTATAACCACTCCCTCTCCCTAAGAAGCAAGAAAAAGACTGGGATCTTAACTCTTCAGCATCTGAAGAGACTTAAACAAGTGAGTACTATGTCCAGAAGCCTGACAGATCAGAGTTAACAACCCGGGAGGAGAAAGGAAAGGAAAGGTGTGGAGAACTGTGGGGGGGGGGGTGTCGAGCCTACAGGCTAAAGGTGGCAGGCACTGCTGTGAGACTGCTTTTGGTATGCAGCCTTCTAGTTTTCAATGTTATTTTAACAGCTAACTTTGCTATTGCCTTATACTGACCATTATTGAAAACGTGCAATTCATATGTAGTGCTGCTGCTGCTGCCAGCTCATATTTACTGAGTATTAATGACATACCAGGACAGCATGGAGCTCTTTACATTTTCATTTAGTGCTCAGAACTCTCTCAAGTTTATAAGGTAGAAGCTATTATTATCCCCATTTTAAAGACGAGGAAACTGAGGCTTATGGCTACCAAACAGCACAGATGTTAGATCAGATGCTGTAGTCCCCTAACCTCAGACGTCAGGACTACAACATGTAATTCAATTTCAAAAACAGGAACACTCCAAGTTTAGTCACACGAGATCCCAGCAGTCAACAGTAGAGAACTCCTCACAGGTCAAGAGCTAAACTCAATAACAATGCTGTCTGGGCCCAGGCAGCACACCTGTTGAGGGGAAGATGGCTACAGGAAGAGAAAGACACATGTGCTTCACGAGCCCTGTTATACCATCAGATCAGTGTTGGACAAGGAGCTTAATGAGGATTCCTCCCTCAGCTGGGAATGGAGTCAAAGGTAAAGCCTCCTCACAAAATAATGCATCAGGAGCTAATGGCCTCTTGCATCTTGGTGGGAGAAGGGCCTCAACTCTCAATGGCATCAGTTAATGTCACCCACTGGAGACAATCTCCGTGTGAGCAGTTTCAACTGTCTCTTTATCTCTTCTTGCTCATGAGTAAACAAATGGGAGCCCACATCTGCGCTCCATTTTGTGACTCTCACACGTTTCAATTTCTGGGACACGTGATAGAGGAAGCACACGGGCTTATCCCAGTGCAAGGACCATGTGATGATTCCAACCACTTCCTGGCTTTACATCCTCCTACACAGAAGAGCAAATCGCTACGCCAAATAAAAGGCAGCTTCTTCCAAACTAGGTATCCAAGCTGCATCAAATTTGACTTAGATTTCATTTGGAAACTGTTCAGAGGGTGAAGACACATAAATATGCAGCAGAGATGCACGGTGCCCGGCTGTCGGGTCCTGAGGTACAAACCTGGTAGGCCGACACGGGAGACGCAATATAGGGTGTAAGAGAAGTTTGACTGATCATTCGGTTTGTGGCAATACTGTATGGTGAAGGGTAAAATCTAGAACAAACACAAAAGCCTTTATTAAGTCATCCTTTCAATGGAATCATTCATGGCACAATGTCTGACACTCTCCACTTTCACCGGCCCTCAAGCTACGATGCGTTTATCCTAATGACGTACCCGTTATGTAGAGCAGCTGTGGTCGGGTCATACGTGAGTGTCATTCCAGCCTACAGGAAGCAGAAGGCAACGTGAAAATCCATCTAGAAAGGCACTATTGGAAAACCGTATTTCATAGAGTCCCCGGGGCATAAGGTGGTAATAGTCACATTGGATAAAATGGGAAGTTTCTGTCAGCCAAGCATGATTACAAACTCTATGAGAACTGAGCTCCACGGTGTCCCCCCACAGCGGCCATCTGAGCTCCACTGTGTCCCCCCACAGCAGCCATTACCACAGGGAGCTACTGAAAATTAAATAGAAACCATGTGGCTGTCACTGGAGACCACAGGTTTAAGACATTTTCTATACACATTCTGGGTTCTTTATGATCTTTTTAAAACATTAAAATTTATTGAAATAAATACAAGAGAAAGCCCAATGTTTCATTAAGAAATTGAAGGTTTTTTTTTTTTTAAAGAAAGCTTCAAAAGATTGTTTGCCTGTTTGCTTACTTGAGAGAGTGAGAGAGAGAGAGAGAGAGAGAGAGAGAGAGAGAGAGAGAGAGAGAGAGAGAGAGAGAGAGAGAGATGGGAACAGTGTGGAGGTGGGGAGGCAAAAGCATGATCAGAATATATTGTATGGCACAACATTTTTTTAATAAGAAAAAATAATTGAGAATATAAAGGCAAATTCTCAGTGACAAATATACTATTTATTTTAGTGTTAAGGACAGATTCCTGACTATGATTAATGTAAACCTACTGAAAAAGCGGAGCCCTCCACACTCAAACACCTTCATAGTCATCCTTTCACTACAGTGCAGTGTGGCTGTTCCCATCGTCTACCTGTCCTCCTGGGGAATGCACACTCAGGCGTTCCGTAAGAGTGTTCATGAGGACACATCCACACTGAAGTTCCAAGAAAGGACTTACAAGTCTCACCTCTCCTTCTCTGTGCCATGGCCGCCCATTAGGGATGTACTTGTTTGGGTTCTGCCTCTTCTTCTGTCCTCCATCAGCAAACTTGCACAGTAACGGTTCTGTAGGAGCTGTGGACATAGGAAGACCACATGAGCACACAACCGTAGCTGTGTCCGACAACATGGGAGGGGGTTTCTTCACAGAGCACTGTTAGTGCCAAGGAGGAACGCTTGGAAGGCAGGAGCTCAAGCCCTGGGACTCCACGGATGAGGAGCAGTGCTGGCTGATGTCTCTGAACTGGAGAGCCATGGAGAAGTCACCTCTAAACACTGCAGCACCGTGACTTTCTCCACCCTGGATCCTCTACAGTTCCACCACTGGACAGTGAGCAGATAATCCCCAAGAGAGACCCGGAACACTCCTCGAGCTTCCCAGACCGCACTCTGCTCCTGGCAGAGAGTAACTCATGTCCATCACACACCATGCTTCTGTTTACAGCTTTTATAGCTGTCTGTGAGAGTGGCGTCTGTCTGTCTTTTCTCCCCGTCTGTTTAGTTATCACCATGTCCCCAGTGCCTACAGTATGGTCACTCTGTAGGCATTTATTACATGCTGGTTACATCAATAGATAAATACGGGGCCCATTTGTATTAACGAGAGCTGTGGGGCTGCAGAGACAGTTGAGTAGTTAAGACACCTGCTGCTCTTGCAGAGAATCCAAGTTTGGTTCCCAGCAACACTTATCAGGTGGCTTAAAACCACCTGTATTTAACGCCAACTACAGGGGAGTGAATGCCCTTTTCTGGCCCATGAGGACACATACACATGCACATGAGCACACGTATGTGCACATACACATGAATGAAAAATTTAAGTTGCAAACACCTGCCCTTATTTAAAGGTTCTTCCGTGTCTCATACCCTCCCATTTAGTTGTTTTACCATTCAGTCACTGTGATCCACAGAAACCCAAGAAATGAACGCTCAAAAAAAATGACAGACACTGAAAATGAGATGCAGGTGGCACAAGAGGCCATCCTTGGCTTTCCCGTGACAGACACACCAGCATGTTCCTGGAGTCCTGTGTTTTCCTGTATGCCTCTAGTTCCTGCAATAAAGGCTCTCACACCTTCTTGCCTGGCTCCCACACTCGGTCCTTTGTCTCCTGTAGAACCATGATCATTCCTTTCAAGTTCTTTTTAGTTAAATAACCACGAAGAGAAAAACATTACTTGTGGAGAATTTACTCCTTTCTCCTTTGCCTCTTATTATCCTAATTCATCTCTGATTTTATATCACTATTACCCACCCACTAATGACAGGGGAGAGGCAAGAGCGTCTTACCACCTACAACACAACACAACACCAGCTGTCATCCCTCCCTAGTGTCTGTCCCCAGTATATCCCTTGGCTGCCCCAGAAGTAAGTAAAGCACTTGTAAGAGGGTGCACTATGGTGTGGATGTAGTTCATCTTCCTCTGGTTCGAGTTTAGTCTGCAGTGTTACAAGGTAGGGCCTGGCAGGAAGCTCTTAGGTCACTGGGGCCACGCCCTCAGAGGCAGCGAAGGGGGTTCTCATGAGTTCTCAAGCTTTCCCAAGAGTGAGCCCCACCCCCAAAGAGATCACTGGCTTTGCCTCGCAGTAGCTTTTCTTGACTGCCACGTGATCCTCACTGGAGTTGAGCTGAGGATGACACCAGGTCCTTCAACTTCCTGAACTATGACCTAAATAACCCCCTTGTTTATAAAGCCACTCCGCGTCAGGTATTTTGTTATGGTAATGAAAATGGACTGATATAGGATAGGAAGAGCTAATAATAAAACTGTTAGGTGTCTGATGAAAATATCATGCACCTTCTTGTTTACCTTCTGATTCTAACTCTTCCACCCCAGGCTTTCATGAATAAGGAATCCTGTTCAATGCCAGCTCAGCACGATGGAAGATGGATGGGCAGAGATCAAAATTCCCCCAAATGTAACTGAACTATACTACTTATCCAACTGACACAAGGTGATGATTTTTTGGAAATATCACCTAATAATCACAGAAGGTAAACATTTTGGTACAATGGATCAGGACAACTTTGTAATAATAATCACCAACGGTCCTTTTAACTCCACAACTGGACTATCATGGGGCAGATGGGAACCAGAGTTGAGATTATGGCATCCCAGCAAAAGAGGCAGATAAAAGACACACCCTCCTGAGAGAAGGGACTTACCACATCTGCCACTCCCTTAAGTTACTCACCTTTGGAGGCGATTAAAAACTGGCTACTTCAATTCTGATACTAAACCCAGCCCGTCCCAGGTCCCTGTGTGAGTGAGCTTGTGGGCTTGGCTGGAAGAGGCTGTGGTGGTGGAAGGTGACCCAGCTGATGACAAAGGACAAAACAAGAGCTCAGCGGAGACAGGCAAAATCCACTCTGCTCAGCCCAATGCCTTTCCAGGTTGTAAGACTTAGTTTTATATGTTCCCACAGGGCCAGGGTGAGCCTGAGAGAACCCGAGGGGCTGGACCTCCGCCCATGCTGACAGTGAGGCTACACCGCCAGCAGAGGCTTTAGAAAAACTAACTCTGGGTTTACTTGGCTTGTCAGAAATGCAAACTATTTTCTTTTATTAGCATAAAATTCTCCCACAGAAAGAAGGCAGCCAGGCGGGGCTCACTCTAAAGTGCATCTCTGGTTAAGTAGCTAAGCAGCAAGACCCTTAACATAGGCTCAGTGGCCAGTGCTCTGTCTGGGGATAACGTGCTTCCCATGCGTGTTTATGCATCTAGATTCTGCCCTGTCAGAATGAAATCCTAGGCGATAGTAACCGTATGGTGTGGAGGTGAAGGTCCAGAGATGGCGTGTTTGTAAGTATACCATTCAACATGAAATGAACAGAATGGGAGTAGCTCTTTTTCAAAGTGAACTATATTTACTATAGTATTATGTGCTGTCATTAAGATTTTTTTTTCTCTAAAAGAGAATAGTTACGTAGTTAAAGCTGTGTGTGCACGGGCAGTGTTCATCTTAAGCGAAGCGCTTCCTACTTTAAAGAACGGTAGTCAGTTAAAAAGGCACGTGTGTCAGACAGTTACCAGCTCCCCATTCAGCAAAATCAGAGTGCCTCATACTCCATGGGAAACAACAGGAATCCCAGCAGCTTTCTTCGACTGTCAAAAGTCTCTTCGCTCTGCTTAGCTCGGTGTCTACTATGTGTTAGGTCCACAAGAGCAGTGAGTACAGTAATCCACAAATCAAGAGTCGCAGCCTCCTCTGGGCTTGCGTTCAGTGTGGATGAGGATGTGTCCTGTCTTATGAAAGCTGGTTTGGTCATTAACGGGATGGAGCACTGAGTGTAGGCACATGTGCTTTAATAAAAATGCTCCACTGGAACAAATACAGATGCAGGCCCAGCTGTTACTCTTTCCTGACACTGCTCCACTGACTTGGGGGGGTATTGTTAAGAGTGAGCCCACGATTCCGAGTTCTTAATGCCTGATTTACCATAAAGACCACCCACTTGCTTTAGAAAAAGCAAGTCACACAAAGTTAGGGGATTTCCTGGTGTTTTTAGCCACCAAGGGTTTAATTCACTGTAACCGACAGTTGTCTTGACACTGTACAACAGTTGGATGAGTTTGGTTACATTTTTGGGGGGTGGGAAAATAAGAAGCAGGCCAGTTTTTTTTTTTTTGTATTTTGTTTGTGTGCGTGCAAGCTTGTTACAGACAGGCGGCCTCACTTCATCAGCCTCTCTGGTGCTTCCCAGATACAGGCCCGCAGTGCAGGTCCTTAGCTTGCCTCTGGGAGCCTGAAGTACAGGCTAGAGAATCAGGAGCTCGTGTGTGATGTCAGCTTGCTCTGCAGCACAGACGCTTCAGGGAGCCTCTGTACTGTCTCTCAGAAAGGAGAAACGGAGGGCACAAATGACATGCCGGAAGTAGCAGCAGTGTGGCCCGAGCAATAGTTAAGTTTGGCTGGATGAACTTTACAAGATTAGTATGCGACCGTCAATCTTTAATGGGGTCGTTTTTCTAGAATAACAATTCTTCATGATTTTCATTGTTTTTAATTATGTACATGTGCATGTGCCCATGGAGGCCAGAGACCAGAGGCGCTGGGTCCCCTGGAGTCATAAGCAGTTGTGAGCTGGCCAGCATGCGTTCTGGGAACTTAAGTCCTCCATAAGAGCTCTTAACTGCTGAGCCAACTCTCCAGCCTCTTGAATAGCAATGCTTCCCCCTTGTGTGTAAAGGGTAACTACAGAGTTCTGATGAATGGTTTCTGAGTGTGCTGTTCACATGTGCATGAAAGCCTACTGGGGATGTCTGTTATCTCCTGCCTTTATCTTTCTCCACCTTATTTTTGGAGCCCCAGAGATACTCATGTCTCTGCCTCCTCAGTACTCAGACTGCAGGCATATGCTTGCCTATGGCTTAATTTTTATGTGGGGGCTAAGAATATGAACCCAGGTCCTTAAGTTTATGGGGCCAGCAGTTTCTTTACTGAGTCATCTCTCTAGCCCTCAATGCATTGTTGTTTATCTATTTCACATGAAGATAGCATATAAATATATAAACTACCCTGAACCAATGGACTTTCCCAAGTATGCAAGTACTCTTAGGCTGAGTGTACCTTTAATATTCGTGAGCTCTAACATCTTGTGTGATTTCTCAGGTCACAATCTCTTATTACCCAACCCAGGAAAGTTATTTTCTTTCTTTCTTTCTTTTTTTTTTTTTTTGGTTTTTTGAGACAGGGTTTATCTGTGTAGCTTTGTGCCTTTCCTGGATCTCGCTCTGTAGCCCAGGCTGGCCTCGAACTCACAGAGATCCGCCTGCCTCTGCCTCCCGAGTGCTGGGATTAAAGGCGTGTGCCACCACCGCCTGGCTGGAAAGTTATTTTCTTACGCATCGGAACCAACAGGAACATGCACCTTTCAAATTCTGATGATGACGATAGTGTTACCTGGAACACTGCTAAGGGCCCCAGGCAGTACCACAGACAGACATAACTGAGCTCATATTTCCTTGCACCTCCTGAGAGTCATCTAAGGTAAAGGCACTATTGGTTTCTCCAGTGTCTCAACAGAGCTGGAGCTCTTTACACGCCTGTGGTGCTGACCCTCCCTATGAGAG